GAGATGGACCCGTGTGGGAGTTCCCTGCCAGGCGGGGGTGGAGCCCGGCTGGAGATGGACCCGTGTGGGAGTTCCCTGCCAGGCGGGGGTGGAGCCCGGCTGGAGATGGACCCGTGTGGGAGTTCCCTGCCAGGCGGGGGTGGAGCCCGGCTGGAGATGGACCCGTGTGGGAGTTCCCTGCCAGGCGGGGGTGGAGCCCGGCTGGAGATGGACCCGTGTGGGAGTTCCCTGCCAGGCGGGGGTGGAGCCCGGCTGGAGATGGACCCGTGTGGGAGTTCCCTGCCAGGCGGGGGTGGAGCCCGGCTGGAGATGGACCCGTGTGGGAGTTCCCTGCCAGGCGGGGGTGGAGCCCGGCTGGAGATGGACCCGTGTGGGAGTTCCCTGCCAGGCGGGGGTGGAGCCCGGCTGGAGATGGACCCGTGTGGGAGTTCCCTGCCAGGCGGGGGTGGAGCCCGGCTGGAGATGGACCCGTGCTAGACCGATCAGCCCTGGCAAGGTCCTTGGACTCGAGTCAGATCACCTGTCAGGCTTCCTGTCTGCAGCCCAGAGTGGGCGGGACTTCCTGCCGGCCCCAGGCTGCACCAGAGTGCCACATTCGTCCTTTGCAATGTACAAGAGCCCCCAGTGGGCTCACGCTGGTGCTCTGGTACATTTCAGAGGAATGCGGAAGTGCCTATCGACTAGTTGAGCAGTGGATGGAAATTCCATCGACTACTCAACTGGTCAGTTAACTGCAATTTAACATTCTTCGTCTTGGAGGATTCTGCATCCCTGGCCATTTTAAAATCCAGATTGGCTGCTTTTTTATTGGCTCTGCCCTGGCACCCTTCCTTAAAGCCCCTTCCGAGGCACCTCCTGGCAGACTTCCCTTCTGTTTGCCCTGCTGAAATCTAGGCACTCATACTAGCACTCTTCCGGGCTGTCTTTGGCATGGCACAAGTTGTCAGCAGCATTTGTGAGCTAGAGGTAGGAACATGGGACAGGAAGGGGCCTCCTGCGGGCAGGGCATAGAACATAAACAGGAGCAGTGGTCCGGCTAGCCCTGCATCCTGTGAAGAGTCAGTAGCCAATGCCAGGTGTTTCAGAGGGAGTGACCAGAAGTGGGCAGTTTCTCAGGTGATCCAGCTCTTGCTGTCTAGTCCCAGTTTCTGGCAGTCAGAGGTAGGGGACACCCAAAGCACAGCATTGTGTCCTGACTGTCTTGGCCAATGGCCATTGAACTAGCACTCTCTGGTTTCAGCTCAGCACTACACAGCATCTCCTGGAAGTGAGTTCCACAGCTCCATTGTGCTCTCTTCTGTTCGCTTCCTTGGGAGCAGCTGGACAGGACACTGGGCTGGAGGGATCTTTGGTCTGACCCGGTGTGGTCATTCTGTGGTGTGTGAAGAACTACTTCCTTACATTTCTTTCGCACCTGCCACCAGAGCCATCCCTTCGGAGTGGCCGCCCTGAACCCTGCTCTTTGGGGTCCTCGTGGTGATTGGCTGGCATGGTGTCATATCCACAGGGCTTGCTGCTTTATTGGCAGCGGGGTTAGCGCCTGGCCCAGTCACCTGCGCTTTGGTGAAGTGAGTCCCCTGCCCTGGCTGGAGCCCTAAGCCACTGTGGCACTATTGCCAAGAGTAGGCCAGATCCGTCCCGCGAGCATGGCCGCTGATACAGAGCGGGCACCCCTAACCCATGGGAGCTGACTTGTCCTGGGCCCCACATTCTCCTAGGGATGGTCCTGCCGGCTAATGTAATTGAGTGAGACTGGTTCATGTGTTAAGCGAATGGGTAAATTACATTTCCTAGTCACGAGTGTGGAGACCTCTGTCGTATCCCCAAGGTCATCTCTCCTCCTATGGCGTCGCTTCCATACTCCCAATCGGTTTTGTTGCCTTTGTGGTTTTTCCATTCTAAAATATCCTTTTTTGAAAGGAGTAGACCAGAACTGCCCACTGTGTTCAAGGCATGGGTGTGCCATGGATTTATCGGGTAGCAGTATGATATGGGAGTGCATGGCTTGCGAGGAGGCTGGGTGCAAGGTCTGGGAGGCATGGAGGATTCTGCATCCCTGGCCATTTTAAAATCCAGATTGGCTGCTTTTTTATTGGCTCTGCCCTGGCACCCTTCCTTAAAGCCCCTTCGGAGGCACCTCCTGGCAGACTTCCCTTCTGTTTGCCCTGCTGAAATCTAGGCACTCATACTAGCACTCTTCCGGGCTGTCTTTGGCATGGCACAAGTTGTCAGCAGCATTTGTGAGCTAGAGGTAGGAACATGGGACAGGAAGGGGCCTCCTGCGGGCAGGGCATAGAACATAAACAGGAGCAGTGGTCCGGCTAGCCCTGCATCCTGTGAAGAGTCAGTAGCCAATGCCAGGTGTTTCAGAGGGAGTGACCAGAAGTGGGCAGTTTCTCAGGTGATCCAGCTCTTGCTGTCTAGTCCCAGTTTCTGGCAGTCAGAGGTAGGGGACACCCAAAGCACAGCATTGTGTCCTGACTGTCTTGGCCAATGGCCATTGAACTAGCACTCTCTGGTTTCAGCTCAGCACTACACAGCATCTCCTGGAAGTGAGTTCCACAGCTCCATTGTGCTCTCTTCTGTTCGCTTCCTTGGGAGCAGCTGGACAGGACACTGGGCTGGAGGGATCTTTGGTCTGACCCGGTGTGGTCATTCTGTGGTGTGTGAAGAACTACTTCCTTACATTTCTTTCGCACCTGCCACCAGAGCCATCCCTTCGGAGTGGCCGCCCTGAACCCTGCTCTTTGGGGTCCTCGTGGTGATTGGCTGGCATGGTGTCATATCCACAGGGCTTGCTGCTTTATTGGCAGCGGGGTTAGCGCCTGGCCCAGTCACCTGCGCTTTGGTGAAGTGAGTCCCCTGCCCTGGCTGGAGCCCTAAGCCACTGTGGCACTATTGCCAAGAGTAGGCCAGATCCGTCCCGCGAGCATGGCCGCTGATACAGAGCGGGCACCCCTAACCCATGGGAGCTGACTTGTCCTGGGCCCCACATTCTCCTAGGGATGGTCCTGCCGGCTAATGTAATTGAGTGAGACTGGTTCATGTGTTAAGCGAATGGGTAAATTACATTTCCTAGTCACGAGTGTGGAGACCTCTGTCGTATCCCCAAGGTCATCTCTCCTCCTATGGCGTCGCTTCCATACTCCCAATCGGTTTTGTTGCCTTTGTGGTTTTTCCATTCTAAAATATCCTTTTTTGAAAGGAGTAGACCAGAACTGCCCACTGTGTTCAAGGCATGGGTGTGCCATGGATTTATCGGGTAGCAGTATGATATGGGAGTGCATGGCTTGCGAGGAGGCTGGGTGCAAGGTCTGGGAGGCATTATGGATGCAGGAGCAGGGGTGCAGAGGTTTGGGTTACATGAAGGGTAGGGAGGGGCTGTGGTGCCAGAGGCAGGCTCTGGCCAGGAGGCCCTTGGCTGGCTCCCAGGCAGCAGCCCAGCTAGTTCCTCAGCCAGGGTCCCTGCCTTCCCTTCCCTTCCAGTGCTGGCTGCAGAGGCCATGGGTGGCTGACTCTGAACTGAGCGAGCTTGGGCAGGGGAGGGGTACTTTGCGTGTTGCCTGGCCTGCAAACAGGCAGCTCCCATTGGTCAATAGAAGTGGCAAGAATTTGCTGGGGATGGGGTGCAGTATGTAAAATCTCTCCCCTCCCTCCTCTGGGGCTTGCAGCGTCAAGAGAGCTCTTCTGAGTGCAAAGGAGGGGCGAGGAAGGGCAGGCAGAGAGCCTGGCAGAGGCTCCGGTGGCTTGGTGGGCTGGATTTGTCCTGCAGGCCATATTTTTCCCACGTGGTCTCTGAGGGCCATGAATACATGCATGAGCCACTTGTCCATAAGGTGGCCTGCTGCATTCAGTGCCTGTGTTCCTTGTTTGCCTGCTGGGGAGTTTGCGCCAGCTTTTGCCCTGAGATGGGGAGCAGGGGAATTAGCCTAAGATTAGAGAATGATTCTTAGGTGTATCAGGCTCTCCTAGAGCTGGAAGAGACCTCAGGAGGTCATCAAGTCCAGCCCCCTGCCCAAGGCAGGACCAATCCCAACTAAATCAACCCAGCCAAGGCTTTGTCAAGCCGAGACTTAAACACCTCTAGGGATGGAGATTCCACCCCCTCCCTAGGTATCCCATCCCAGTGCTTCACTGCCCTCCTAGGGAAATAGTTTTTCCTAATCTCCGACCTAGACCACCCACCGCCCCCGCAACTGAGAGCTTTGCTCCTTGTTCTGCCATCTGTCACCACTAAGAACAGCCTCTCTCCATCCTCGTTGGAACCCAGCTGCAGGGAGTTAGAGGCGGCTATCAAATCCCCCCTCACTCTTCTCTTCTGCAGACTGAGCAAACCCAAATCCCTCTTAGTCTTACACTCTCATCCTTCAGCCCATTCCGTGGGAAACCCAGGAAGTGATGTCAACCTATGCCAGTTAGCACCTTCCTTCCCCAGAAGATATACAGGCTCAAGACAACAGCATTCTCATCAGTCATCGTGAACAATATTTTCACTCTCCGCAGTGCTCCTCCTAATGCACCCCATTTGCCTTCAAGGGCACACTGGTGACTCATCTCCAGCTTCTCATCTACTGCAGTCCCCAGGTCCCCCTGGTCCTTTTCTGCAGAACTACTACTTAGCTGGTTGGTCCCCAGCCTGAAACAATGCTTGGGATTCTTCCGTCCCAAGTGCAGGACTCTGCACTTGTCCTTGTTGAACCTCCGCAGATTCCTTTTGGCCCAATCCTCTCAGTCTACTCTGTCCAGGTCACTCTGGACCCTATCCCTGCCCTCCAGCGTATCTACCTCTCCCCTTAGCTTAGTGTCATCTGCAAACTTGCTGAAGGTGCAACCCATCCCCTAATTCAGGTCATTAATAAAGACGTTGAACAAAACTGGTCCTCGAACCGATCCTTGGGAGTGCAATCCTTGTGGCACTCCGCTAGAAACCGACCGCCAACCTGACACTGAGCCATTAATCGCTACCCGTTGGGCCCGACAGCCTAGCCATCTTACCGCCCATGGATCCAGACTTCCTTAACTTGCTGGCAAGAGCATTGTGGGAGACCGTATCATGCTTCCTCCCTAAACTGCCAGGTTTCCTGGTGCTGCTCCTTCCCTGATGGGGCGCCTCAGGGCTCTCTGTGGAAGTGATCCAGGCCTGTGGGTTTGTCAGTTGCATGCTGGGGGCGCTGAATGAAGTCAGCCTGGGCTCTAGTGCAGTGTCTCTCCCCTCAGCAAGGGTGCAATAAAGTTCTCTCCCTCACTGGCCTCTGCCTCTACTCCTGCTGCTCCCAAGATCATAGAATCATAGACTCATAGGACTGGAAGGGACCTCGAGAGGTCATCGAGTCCAGCCCCCCGCCCTCAAGGCAGGATCAAGCTCCGTCTACACCATCCCTGACAGATGTCTATCTAACCTGTTCTTAAATATCTCCAGAGAGGGAGATTCCACCACCTCCCTTGGCAATTTATTCCAATATTTGACCACCCTGACAGTTAGGAATTTTTTCCTAATGTCCAATCTAAACCTCCCCTGCTGCACTTTAAGCCCATTACTCCTTGTCCTGTCCTCAGAAACCAAGAGGAACAAATTTTCTCCTTCCTCCTTGTGATACCCTTTTAGATATTTGAAAACCGCTCTCATGTCCCCCCTTAATCTTCTTTTTTCCAAACTAAACAAGCCCAGTTCATGAAGCCTGGCTTCATAGGTCATGTTCTCTAGACCTTTAATCATTCTTGTCGCTCTTCTCTGTACCCTTTCCAATTTCTCCACATCTTTCTTGAAATGTGGCGCCCAGAGCTGGACACAGTACTCCAGCTGAGGCCTAACTAGTGCAGAGTAGAGCGGCAGAATGACTTCACGAGTTTTGCTTACAACACACCTGTTGATACAACCTAGAATCATATTTGCTTTTTTTGCAACAGCATCACACTGTTGACTCATATTCAACTTGTGGTCCACTATGACCCCTAGATCCCTTTCCGCCATGCTCCTTCCTAGACAGTCGCTTCCCATCTTGTATGTATGGAACTGATTGTTCCTTCCTAAGTGGAGCACTTTGCACATCCCAGGCTCTCGCCCGGCCTGGTTGCAGCAGAGCCAGCCCTGGCTCCTGGAGGCTGCTGGTGGGCTTCCTAAAGCCACTGCCCCTGCAGCAGCAGCCAGGCTGAGCAGGAGCTCCTGCCACATGGCAAAACCCAGGTGGGCCGGAACTTGGAATAGGCCTTCTGAGCTCACTTCTTGCCCTGGGGCCTGAGCTGTGGCAGGGGCTCAGCAAGGCAGGGTGAGGGCAGTGCCCAGGCCAGGGCGTGGGTGAGTGCTTACCTGCCCCTGCTTAGCAAGCTCTGGGCCCTCTTCTCTGCCCCTCTGACTCTGGGCCTTTCCCTGCAGGCCTATAACATCCACGTGAACGGCGTGCTGCACTGCCGTGTGCGCTACAGCCAGCTGCTGGGCCTGCACGAACAGGTGGGTCGCTCCCTCCCCGGCCAGGAACAGACCCTCCCACTGCAGCACTTGGGGCTTCTCCCCAGTCATGGTGCCCAGCGTCTCCAGCCCTGCTTCCCATGTGAGCGAGAGGGGCAGAGTCTGGCCCATGGGGGAAAGCTGAGCTGAGTTGGTGCTCAGGTGTTGTGCAGGGTCCCGTGCCAGCCCCCCAGCTGGAGCCTGGAGATAGGGCTGTTGGAGTCCATGGGGCTGCTCTGGGCAGGACGAGCTGAGAGCATGTTGTGTCCGTGCGAAGCCAGCCCAGCGCCCGGGATGGAGCTCATACTGCTCCCCAGAGGGATACTATATGGAGAGAGACTGGCAGGGACCTCACGCGGCCATTGAGTCCAGCCCCCTGCCCTCGCACCACACCCTCGCAGGAGGGACACTGTACCCTGCAGAGGGCGTGGAAGGTTGGGCCTGGGGGGACCCGTGGGCGGGTCTGTTTGGGCTTTCCCCCGTGTCTCAAGCTCTGCGCTCTCCTGCCAGCTACGGAAAGAATATGGGGCCAATGTGGTGCCGGCGTTTCCGCCCAAGAAGCTCTTCACCCTCACCCCGGCAGAGGTGGAGCAGCGGCGGGAGCAGCTGGAGAAGTACATGCAGGCAGGTAAGTGGGGGTGCGGAGAGCCCTTGGGCAGCTGGCAGCAGCTGGCGTGGCCCATGCCCTGGGGCTGCTCCCTCGCCCCCCACAGGCCCCGGGGTGCATGGCTGCTGTGGCGGCTGCAGTCCCTGCCTGCGAACACCAGGCCCAGAGATGGGCAGGCCTGACCCCTTCAGCTCTGGCTTGAGCCCTGCTGGGTTTGGGGCATTTCTCCAAGTGTGGGCTTGAGAGGGGCCTGTCCCAGAAACCCAGGGGGCAGACGGAGGAGGCTGGGGCTTTCCCAGGTACCCGGCTTGGGACAGCTCACAACAGCTGGGGCTGGGCAGCCTGCCCCAGGCTCTCCCTAGGGGCAGCTCCTGCTGCACCCACCCCCAGGTCAGCAGAGGCGGCTGAGCAGTGCAGCAGGTGCCTCCACCTCCTGTGCACATCCCTGTGTGCCAGCATCCACAGGCCAGGGTCAGTCCCTGGGGAGAGACCATCACTGGGCTAGACACCCACCCAGGGTGAGCCACACAGCTCCTGGGGGCTGGGAAGTGGGGTACCATGGGAGAATGGGGGGGTCCCTGAGGTCTTGGGAGTACTGTCTAGGTGTGTGGGGTACCATGGGAGAGTTAGGGGGTTCCCTGAGGGGTTGAGGGTGCTGTCTCGGGGGTGGGGTACCATGGGAGAATGGGGGATTCCCTGAGAGCATGGGAGTACTGTCTGGGTGTGTGGGATACCAGGGGGTAAATGGTGGGGGTTCCCTGGGGGGTGTGGGAGTACTGTCTGGAGGGGCGGGGTACCATGGGGCAGAGGGGGGTTTCCTGAAGGTTAGAGGATGGCAGGTGACACCTGAGGGCTGGATGTATGGGGTACCATGTGGGAATGGGGGGTTCCCTAGGGGTGTGGGAGTACTGTCTGAGTGTGTGGGGTACCATGGGGAAATGGGGAGGGGGGTGGCCAGGGGCTTCCAGGGGGTTCCAGTGATGCTGCCTGACTCCGTGCTTGGTCCCACCTCTAGTGCGGCAGGACCCAGTGCTGGGGGGCAGTGAAACCTTCAACAGCTTCTTGCGGAAAGCCCAGCAGGTGAGCTGGGAGCGGGCAGGGTGGGGCTGGGGGACAGGGCTACGTCCTGGCCCTGGCCAGACCCCAAGCTCTCACTCTTCTTCTGCCTCAGCACCCCCAGCCTCTGGGCCACCCGGGGCCACCAGGGTCCCTGCCCGGCGCACGGCACAGATGTCCATAGGGGAGCGCAGAGCCCTGGGGGCTTGAGGAGCTCCCCAGTCCATCCTGGGGAGCCCAGCGCCCCGTGTTCGGCCTTCCTCAGTCAGTTCCCAGCTGAGAGTCCTGGGGCTCGCCCACCTCCCGTTTAGCCTCAAGCCCTGTCGCTGGGGCTCTGGGCCTCTCCCGCGGTAGGCTCCATGCTGCCTCTGGCCATCCCCAGCCCACCCCGGTGCAAACAGAGCCCCCCTTCTCGGGGCGGGGCACAGAGGCCCCTCACCTTCTCCCCGTGTCCCAGGAGACGCAGCAAGTCCCCACCGAGGAGGTGCCACTGGAGGTGCTGCTCTCCAACGGCCAGAAGGTCGTGGTCACCATCCTGACCTCAGACCAGACGGAGGATGTCCTGGAGGTAGGTGTGGCCGGCCTGCCATGGGGGCTGCCATGGGGGGCCTCAGGCAGGGTCACAGAGGGGGGAAGGGCGTGAGCCAGGCCCTAACAGCAGTCATGCTCCGGCGGTGCCCCCCGGCCTCCAGGGTCACTTGCCTTTGTCGTCTGGCCTCTGCCTTCCAGCTGCAGGGGGGCTGTGCCCTGCCCCAGGCTGCGCCAGCTCCAGAGGGCTTTGCGTGCGGCTGGGGAAGGCAATCCAGGGTGCCCAGGCTTGCTCTCTGCAGGGGAGGGGGAAAGGTGACTTTCTGCTTGCTTTCCAGGCTGTCGCCTCCAAGCTGGATCTGCCCGAGGACTTAGTTGGCTACTTCAGCCTCTTCCTGGCAAGAGAAGCCAAGGACGGAGCCTTTTCCTGTGAGTAACCTCCCAGCATCCGCCGCCCTCCCGTACTGGGGGCCATCCATGGGGCAGGGAGGGGAGAATCGTGTGAGGGGGGAAAGGTGACTTTCTGCTTGCTTTCCAGGCTGTCGCCTCCAAGCTGGATCTGCCCGAGGACTTAGTTGGCTACTTCAGCCTCTTCCTGGCAAGAGAAGCCAAGGACGGAGCCTTTTCCTGTGAGTAACCTCCCAGCATCCGCCGCCCTCCCGTACTGGGGGCCATCCATGGGGCAGGGAGGGGAGAATCGTGTGAGGGGACAGGCTGTGCAAGGGAAGGGGGGGACCACTAGTAGTTACC